GGCACATACCCGGGGGGGAGGTGGCAGGAGCAGCTAACGGATGTTTCCTTCTCATGGATGTTTTCTAACTCTCTATCCCTCTCCCTTACTCTCTGTAAAAATCAATAAAATATATTTTTAAAAAAATATAAAAATACTAAATGGGGATTTCATAATGTGCCAATTTTTATTAAGATCTCAGAACTTTTTGTCTCATATCTGTGAATTATTTTCAGGTATCTCTTTCTAAATGTTCAGAATGGGTACTACTTTTTTGTTTTAATTCTATATGTTACAAAGCCATTACACACCTACTCATACTCACACACTTGCGTAGACACATGTACACAAACATTCCATTAAACACATTCGTAAGATGCTACCTTTTTTAAAAAAAATGGAAGAGAGAAAATATTTAACTTATAATAATTTTTTACTACAAAACTTTAGAGCAAAAATATCGTAGAGCAGGAAGGCACCTGAACACTTGTCTAATCCAGCCCCTCATTTTACAGATGGTAAAAGTAAGGCCCAGAGAGGGTAAATAATTCTCTCAAGGTCATGAAGTTAAGAGTAGCTTCTCCAGCCCTGACCCGTTTGGCTCAGTGGATAGAGCGTCGGCCTATGGACTCAAGGGTCCCGGGTTCGATTCCGGTTAAGGGCATGTACCTTAGTTGTGGGCACATCCCCAGTAGGGAGTGTGCAGGAGGCAGCTGAATCGATGTTTCTAACTCTCTATACCTCTCCCCTCCTCTCTGTAAAAAATCAATAAAAATATATTTAAGAAAAAGAGTAGCTTCTCCAGGACTAGATCCTGGTCTTTTTGATTCAGAGTCAGAGGCTTTTTTCTATACCACACAGCTCCATGTTAAGAAGCTTCCAGGTGATGCTTCCCTAAGACAACCATGATTTTTTCAACTATAGTGTAATTCACTTAAGGTGGTTGCAGATGAAAAATAAGAGAAGTAATTAACAAATGACAAGTCATGCTGAAATATGTGAGAAGAAAGGATCTATTAGACACAAACTGTACTTTGTGCTGCTTTCCTAAAAATCCCTGGCTCTGTGCATCTTGTTTTTTGTTCTAGAAATTGGTTTAGGATATTAAGGTGGGTGATTTTGCTCAAAGAAGGTTGGGATATTAAAGGTGGAGTAAAAAACTCAAAGGTAGCTGCTGCGAGCAGAAACCAAGAAATGTCAGTGGGATCGAGGGTGTCAGGTAGTCCCCACTTTCAGTCATTTGTGGAGTACCTCTGTTAACATGTTATATTGCCCTTCCCTCCATGCACTCCTGGGTGTCCAGAAACTGAACGGCATCTGAAGCTGATAAACCTCCTGAAATGTCTGTCAGGAGGACAGACTTGCATTGTCTGGCTCATGTTAAAGCTCCATAACAGAACTGTATTGTCTTCCACGTTTTCCCTGGGGGCTACCTGGTGCATTATTGAAAACATTAGCTTTTTCCATTCCCATTCCTGCTGAAGCTGCTCATCCCAAATGCAGCTGTTAGTGGCACTGCTGTTTTTATGTTCTGCATCAGATCTCGGCACACAAGCAGATCACTAGCATGTGGTTACTTATTTGTCATTTGTCATTTCCTTCTTTTTCTTTATTTTGTTTATATTTTTCTCATCACCATTTATCTCCCCCATATCTTCCTCCACCTCCACCTACCTCCTGCCCCACCCCCCATGGAATCACCACACCGGTGTCTGTGTTCATCAGCTCATTCCCTTTTTCCTCGTTTCCTTTTTAAAAATTCAAGACATTCTTTCGATACCTAGAAATGTCCTAAGATAATGTTATTACCTTACATGAGAATTTGTTCTACGTAGGACAGGCAGCATAGGGCTTTTTTTAAGGGTGACATCACTTAGAGGAGGAATCTGAAGCTTAGAAACTTTCAGTCACTTGCCCAGTGTTCTGACTTCCTGGTTCTATAATATGCACCAACCACTAGGTATCATTTGAGTTGTTGGTTCTAAGCATCATGGTTCAGATTTAAATTCCTCTTTAAACCTTTTATATTTTATATTCTTAGGTCTTTAGAGATGGCCTTTACCTGCATGCAGTTATATAATTGTGATGCTCAGTTTATATGCTCTTGCCACAAATTCCCTGATTTCATCTTGGCAGCATACTGGGACAGGATGTTTTCCATAGGGGAACTCTGTCTTTCATTCAGTGATTATCTGTAGCCTGTGTCTGAAACGATTTCTTTAGCTTAACATTCCTAAGCAAATCACATCTGGTTGAGCTTTTAAGTGATTTTTCACTTTCAGAAATATGTATGTTTTCTGTGTCATCTTTTTAAAAGTATAGAAATTGGCTGTCTGGAATATTGTCACTGCTGAAGTGAACTGCAAGGGCACAGGAGTAGACCCAGCCTTGTCTCTGGACCCCTGGCTGCTGTGTTTCCACCTTTCCACCTCGACCCACAAACACAGATATCTTAAATAGATCTTCACACCGCCTGCAAAACCATTATAGAGAAGGCTCTAAGCACTATAGTGAACATGCATTTTTGGTACCTATTTTCTTATTGTTTGAGTTTTTGTTATACTTCAAATATATTCTTCTTTTTGCCTTTTGATAGTGTCCAAATAATCTTTTCCCTGACACTCAAAATCTCAGTTTTGTTTTGGCTTGTTTATGCTGTAAAAACATGAAATTAACACTTCAGGTAAATTTCACACTCCTCCTTTCTGAGCGGATTGTTGTAAATCAAATTTCACATTAATCAGAGCAATGTACATTCTCCTGTGAAAATTGATGATTTTCACTTAATTATGTAAAGTTCTGTAGGGTTTTTGGAGCTTTGTTTTTCTTTGTGTGTTTTTTTAAATATATTTTTATTGATTTCAGAGAGAAAGGGAGAGGGAGAAAGAGATAGAAACATCAATGAGGAGAGAGAATCATGATCAGCTGCCTCCTGCACGCTCCGTACTGAGGAATGAGCCAGCAACCCCAGCATGTGCCCTGACCCGGAATTGAACCATGACCTCCTGGTTCATAGGTTGATGCTCCACCACTATGTCTCATGGGCCAGGTTGGAGCTTTGTTCTTACCTGTGTTGCTATCTTATTTATTATTCTTATGTCCTCTAAAATTTTTATTTCAAGGTTATTTCGTCTCAGATACTTTATTTCCATCAGAGTATAATAAAATACAAATACTTATTACCACCTATATTGTACTTTCATTACAAAATCTATCAATCACTAAGTATTTATTGAATACAATTCAATTATTTAATTCATTAGAAAGAAGCAATTAAATATAATGAAAAATGCTCTTTGCAGAGTTGCTATTAGTGTTTATCCTGCAATGCATCATTTCGATCAACTTTACTCTCATTAATTTGTTGTTTCATTCAACTCCTCTGACATAGGCTAAAGTCTGTGACTCTAAAGTAGTCTTTTTCAAACTAAGGGCTTTAACTCTTTAGTGGGTCCTGAAATCAAGCTCAAGATGAGCTATGTTTTTTTAAAAGAAATAGAACATATTAGAACAGAAATATCTGAGTGCGTCTCTGATAATAGGGTAAATATTGTTTGGTGAAACTTTTGTTTCAGTTATGTATAGTTTTGTTTCATACATGCACACATAAACTTGCATATTGAATCACAGTGTAACATTTTTTTCTTACTGTAGGTGGTGGTCAAAAAGATTTCAAAGTCACTTAAGTATTTAAGAACCGTAGAAAGGTTCTCCTGACACGTTGACTTAAGAACTTTATGATTTTTTTGTTATGACCCCCGAAAGTCCATGAGGAGAGTTAAACATTATGTTTATTTAACAGAAATGGATATGCATACAGTGTTATAGAGAACTTATTTGATTCCCCTTTACAAGATAAAATCAAGTAGGTAGCTATACAATATTAGGTTTTAAACTTCGAAGCTGACCCCTGATGCAACTAAGTTCCAAGCTCTATACCTCACTTCTTCGGGGACAGTAAGCATCCACTTACAGATGGAGCTCAGAAAACCCAGGCTTGAATTCTCAACAGCCGCTCCAAGGTGTCTCCTAATGGAGAGTCCCTTTGGGGAGGGCATGTAGCTGGTACTTCCTACCTCCACTCAGTCAGTTCCCCTAATGTTCATGAAGTTTCCAGGAGCTCTTCCTTAGGAAGAGAATGAACCTGAATCCCTACTAGCCTGGGAAGGAGCTCCATGAGAGCAGTGCCTGTCTTTGCCTTTCACACGTGTCTAGTGTTTAGCAATTATCTTCACAGGGCGGTCCTTCAATCATTTAGTTAAAGCAGGGGTCCTCAAACTACGGCCCGCGGGCCACATGCGGCCCGCCGAAAACATTTATCCGGCCCGGTGTTTTTGCCGCCGCTGCCTGTCCTGCTTAGCAGCCGACTCGTCCCGGGCCTGCAGTGCGCATGTGTGGAATGTCTGAGGGACAGTGAACTGGCCCCCTGTTTAAAAAGTTTGAGGACCTCTGAGTTAAAGGGTCTGTAAGTGAGTCCTTCTTTTCAGATAATCATTCCCTGGCCAAGAAAGTCCTCCCTTCCCAGATCTACCTTCTTAGTTTCATGTTGACACTTGTCTTATACTTAATTGTTGACAATTCACTAAAGTTTTGTTCCTTTCCCTTCCTCCCAAATTTCTGTCTTCCTTAGGTTTCCCAGATAGCTGGATATCTCCCTCATCTTTTAAAAAGTACTTACTTATATACCTATTATTTTTGCTCCTTCCCCTCCGAAAGCTCTCAGAAGCTATTTTATGGTAATCAAAAAATGTAATGTGTCTTTGTGACATGATAGAACAGTATAGTCACTCTTTCTTCTGAGGTAATGTCTTGAAGTGTCAATGCCTCCCATGAGCAGACCCTTTACACCAGGGAATTTTATAAACCAGTTCCTTTTAGCTTAAATGGAAGGATAAGGTGGAGCTAAGTGGAGCATTTCTGGGACTCCTCTGGACTTGTGTTTCATTTATATCACCAAGTAACAAGCTGTAAATGGCTTATCCTTTTTAATGGAAGTGCTTTGTTGCTTAGAAAACAACAACTGGCCGCTGAGTATAACAGGAAGCACGTTCTCCAGCACCACTTTACAGAATGGCAGCATTGGCATCACCGGAAGCAAGTTCTCCGCCACCACTTTACAGAATGGCAGCATTGGCATCGTGCAGAGATCCTAAAGAGAGAGCTGGCTCTAACCAAGGAGGAAACAAGGAAGAAAATGGGTGAGCTGTTGAAGGCAGCATCACTAGGAAAACTCAGTGCAGCTGGGTCAGTAGGCACCAGTCTGCTCAAGAAGGCAACAGCCACAGTGGAGCCACCTACAGGAGAGGTACTTTGCTTTTCTTTTGCTTAGTCTTCCTGCTTACTAATCACTTGCATTTGATCTTTGCACTTGGGTAGCTTGGGCTATGTTAGCCATTGTCAGGTTGCCTTGCCTAAGCTATCTAAAAGATGAGCTGCTGTAATGCACAAAGGTTAACTTTCAATCAGTGTTCATTTTTTTGAACTGTATCCTCTTTTTATAATCACACTAGAGGCCCGGTGCATGAAATTCCTGCACAGCAGGGAGGGGGGGAGGAGTCCCTCAGCCCGGCCTGCATCCTCTCCAATCTCGGACCTCTAGAACATCCCTCTTGCAATCCGGGACCGCTGGCTCCTAACCGCTCACCTGCCTGCCTGCCTGATCACCCCTAACCACTCTGCCTGCCAGCCTGATCACCCCTAACCATTCTGCCTACATGCCTGATCGCCCCTAACCGCCTTTGCCTGCCTGCCTGATCGCCCCTAACCGCTCTCCCCTGCTGGCCTGATAGCCCCTAACTGCCTCTGTCTTGGCCCCTACCACCGTGGCTTTGTCCGGAAGACGTCCGGAAGATGTCTGGTCTATCCAGTCTAATTAGCATATTACCCTTTTATTAGTATAGATATAAACTTTGATGTAGCTCAAGCTTAGGAGGGACATAATAGAGGGAATTTAAAACAACTAAGAGAAAGACTCCTTCAGGAACAGATAATATAAAGCATTGTTTACAACTCTTGAACTCCTCTTATTTGATCATACATTTTCTTCCTAAATGAGCCTTGTGACTTATAAGAGGGGAATGTTTATGTTTTTATTTTTCTAGTGAGAAAAATCATATTAATTGTAGCAATTTGGTAGGAGAAAATGACAGATGAAAAAGAAAAATAGCCTATAATTTCATTATTTGGAGATAACCACCAGTAACATGTTGAAGTAGAGCCATCTAGTCTTTTCTCTATTCAGGTATATCCAAAGTTTGCTCTTCAGTATTTTATTTAGCTTTAAATTTTTCTTCAGTCAAATAATTGAGAACATTAATCTGCCATAATACAGAAAAAGGAAGGCCATGTATTTTTCTTTTTAATAATAATATTTTTCTGCTTTTCTAAAAGATATCTTTTGCATTTTCATAATATAACATGAGAATTTTTTTAAGTCAGTAAGTCTTCAAAACAGTAGTTCTCAACTGAGCATATACTGTAGAATCAGACCACTAATTCAGAATCTCGGAGTGGAGCCCTTGTAGTTTTTTAAAGTTCCGCAGGTGAACCTGATGAATATTCACCCACGAGTTAAGTACTGCCATTATGTGCCATCATATTGTAATGGCTGCATGATATTCTACCATGAATTATAAGGTGGAATCTGTTTACTTCCTTCTCTATTACTGGACATTTAAGTTGTTTCCAGTTTGCCACAATTGCAAACAGAGCTTCAGTGAACATCCTTGTAGTTAAATCTTTGCACACGTCCATAATGCTTTACCTTGGATAATTACCTAACAATAGAATGCACATTTTATAGACTCTTACCAAGTTGCCCTTCCAGAAAGGTTGTACCGTAGGAAGGGCCTGTTTTCTTTTCTGATAACATATTTTAACATATTTTTCATTTTTACCAAGTTAACAGGTAAAATATTTTCATATTATTGCTTCAACATTTGCAAGTAGGTTTTTTTTTCTGTTGTTGTTGTTTTCAATCCTTATCCAAGGATATTTTTTTCCATTGGTTTTCAGACAGAGTGGAAGGGAAGGAAGAGGGGGAGGGAAACATCCATGTGAGAGAGACCTATGGATTGGTTGCCTCCCACACGCGCCTCCACCAGGGCCAGGGATCAAACCTGCAACTGAGGTACAAGGTATGTGCCCTTGACCAGGAATCGAACCCAAGACCCCCCAGTGCGTAGGCCAAAGCTCTAACCATTGAGTACCAGCCAGGGCTGCGGATTTTTAATTACTACTGAGGTTAAACATTTTTTACATTTCCCATTTACATATATATGTAGTACATGAAAATGGATATAGTAAGATAGATACATAGTGACTTGTCTTCATGCCCTTTTTTCTACTTGAGTATTTATCTTTTTCTTATTTATAGGAGCTCTTTATATTTTTAAGACCATTGATGCTTTTATTATTATGTTTTGCAATCTTTTTTTCATTCTGTCATTTGTCTTTTTGGTTTATTTATGGTGTTTTGTGCTATACACAGTTAAGTTTTTATAAAGGCAATCCTACCAGTTTTTTTCTTTCATAATTGCACTTGTATTTGAAAAGCCTTTCAAAGGAGGTGCTCTACCCGCCCACCTCCACCCCAGGCCCCTCCATCCTCCACATAATGCTGTTAAGTACTTGACTCAGATGTGTGAAATTGAAGTGGGCACTAGAGGGTCCCCAACCTTGTTTTTTACCCTGACTCCTGCTAGTAAGTAGTTAGTTTTCATTTAAGCTTAGTCTCTCAGCAAAGGGGATCATGAGGATGCTTATTGTGCCTTATGTAACATCCTGGTCTCTTCCCCTAGGCAGTTTACCTACCTTTATGTCAGTCAAAGGATTTTGTTTCCATTGAGACCCAGGAGAGTCTTCTATCTTGGGAAATAGCTGTGTGGAACCTTTTACCTTACGGAGTTCCACTGTTACCTTTCAATGAAAAAAAGGAAGTCAGCAGAAAGTATTTTTTTTCCTGTGTAAAGCAGAAAAATTACTAAAATACTTACATAATTTAGACTCAAGTAAAAGGGTCTCCAAATATCTGAAATCAAAATCAAAATAATTTATCAATAATTTATCTAGATTGTAAACAAAATTAGAGCAAAAATTAGAGAAAATAAAGGGCTATAATAGACTCTGCAAGTTACTAGATAAACTCTAATCATTTCCAGAGTGTAAAGTATAACATGAACAATCTATACTAATAAAAGGATAATATGCTAATTAGACTGGATAGATGGGACGTCTTCCAGCCATCTTTCTGGACAAAGCCACGGTGGCAGGGGCTGAGGCAGAAGTGGTTAGGAGCGATCAGGCAGGCAGGCAGAGTGGTTAGGGGTGATCGGGCTGGCTAGGGAGCAGTTAGGGGCATCAGGCAGAGGCAGTTAGGGGTGATCAGGCAGGCAGGCAGGCAGAGAGGTTGGAGTGATCAGGCAGGCAGGCAGAGGGGTTGGGGTGATCAGGCAGGCAGGCAGAGGGGTTAGGGATAATCAGGCAGGCAGGCAGGCAGAGTGGTTAAGGGCAATCAGGCAGGCAGAGTGGTTAGGAGCGATTAAGCAGGCAGGCAGGTGAGTGGTTAGGAGCCAGCGGTCCTGTATTGCAAGAGGAATGTCCAACTGCCGGCAGTCAGACATCCCCCAAGGGGCCCTGGATTGGAGAGGGTACAGGCCAGGCTGAGGGACCTTCCCCCCCCACTCCATGCATGAATTTCGTGTACCAGGTCTCTAGTGAAAATATAAAATCTTTAGTTAGATGCGCATTAATTATACAATCATATGAACTCAAGTTCCATAAACACATATATTATACCTTGAAATTTTTCAGAATTATCAGTTAGCTAATAATAATAGGTGATTTTCTCTGATTAAGCCAGATTGTTCAGTTCTGTTCTATTAAGTACAATCTGTACCAGTAAGCTTTTCTCTCTTTCTCTAATTTCACCTTAAAGAGTTACTATGATCCAAAAGAAATCTTGTTGCTGTACTCAAGGCTTTTACAGCCTTGCTGGGTTAATAATATGTCATTACCACAAAGTTTAAAAGGGCCTAAAACATGTACCCCGCTTGATGCTAAATTACTTAAGCAGGTGTTTTCATGAATAAATGTCCACTGACATTTCTGAAATAGAAGGTCATTTTAAAAAGTATTTAACATGTCAGAGTTTTCACATACCACATCTTTCACTTCAGCTGAATATAAAGAAAATATTTCCATCATCATGAAAAATATCTTTGAGTATCCAAGTTTGGCACCCTGTTAGCACTAGAGGTTTCTAAGATATGTAAGATAGTTCACAGTATTTTTATCCTTATACCACTGCAGATGGCAAAATCAAAAACTGGTTAGACATTAGACCATGGCATCAAACCATTCTAGAAAAGACATTTTTAACTATGACATTATTTTGGCTAGAATAAATTTTTCTGATTAAAAATTCTGTTTTCTTTCCTTCTGTATAGAACTTGTAATTGTGATACCTCAGTCTATTAAATGATAAATGAGATATAAATGATAAATCTTTGAAAACCATTAAGCCATGTGCTAATACAAAAAATTATTAGGTAACATTATTCTTATGTAACACAGATATTTGTCCATTGATCCTGGGTGTGCCAATATTTCCCACAAATAGATTGTTTTAGAATAACTAGAGACTAAACTTTAATCCAGGCCTTAATCCTAATATATAACAACCCTGGGTCCATCACATCCACAACGACTGGGAGGCTCGACCAACTGGAAGCGCTGACTGCTATGGCTGCAGGCACAGTGACCCAGCACTCACTGCTAAGGGGGCTGCGAATCAGGCCCAGAGAGAGGCCTGAAGAGAGAAGCGGGGGTCTAATCCGTAGCCTCTGTGGCAGCTGTTGATCAGCACTTGCCTCTCTCTTTAGCTCTGGGCCTGGTCAGCAGCTGTGCCTCCATTTCTCTCCAGGCCTCCACCGGGGCTGCTGATCAGCCCTGCCTTTTTGATCAGGCCCCGTTGATAGGCCCAGAGACGCTGACTAGCATAGAAACCAACCAATCAGAACCAAATTGGCTGGCAGAGGAGGGCAGTTGGGGGTGAGATCAGGCCTGCAGAGGAGGGCAGTTAGCGGTGATCAGGCAGGCAGAGGCAGTTAGGGGCGATCAGGCCGGCAGGGGAGGGCAGTTGGGGGCGAGATCAGGCTGGCAGAGGAGGGCAGTTGGGGGCGATCAGGCCGGCAGGGGAGAGCAGTTGGGGGCAAGATCAGGCTGGCAGGGCAGGGCCGTTGTGGGCGACATCAGGATGGCAGGGGAGGGCAGTTGGGGGCAAGATCAGGCCAGCAGGGGAGGGCAGTTGGGGGCAACCATGCCGCAGGGGAGCACAGTTGGGGGTGGGGGTCAGGCCTGCAGGGGAGGGCAGTTGGGGGCAAGATCAGGCCAGCAGGGGAGGTTAATTGGGGGTGAGATCAGGCTGGCAGGGGAGGGCAGTTGGGGGCGATATCAGGCTGGCAGGGGAGGGCACTTGGGGGTGAGATCAGGTTGGCAGGAGAGGGCAGTTGGGGGCGACCAGGCTGGCAGGGAGGGCACTTGGGGGTGAGATCAGGTTGGCAGGAGAGGGCAGTTGGGGCGATCGGCCCGGCAGGGGAGCAGTTAGGTGTTAATCAGGCTGGCAGGGGAGCGGTTAGGGGGTGATCAGCCTGGCAGGCAGAAGTGGTTAGGGGCAATCAGACAGGCAGGCAGGTGAATGGTTAGGAGCCAGCAATCCCGGATTGTGAGAGGGATGTCCAACTGCTGGTTTAGGCCCGATCCCACAGGCAGTTGGACATCCCCCGAGGGGTCCCAGATTGGAGAGGGTGCAGACTGGGCTGAGGGACACCTCCCCCAGTGCACAAATTTCGTGCACTGGGCCTCTAGCCTGAAAACAAATACCCTGTGATTAATTTACTAGTGGCAAGAGAAGCCTTGAAATAACTATTATTAAAGAGCTATTTTAATGAGTATTATTGACTAGAGTCCCAGTGCACGAATTCGTGCATGGGTGGGGTCTGGCCAGCCCACCCCGATGGGGGCCGATTGGGCCGGGCCAGTGGGGGAGGGGATGAGGGAGGTTGGCCGGCCAGTCCCGATCGGGGTTGGGGGGCCAATAGGGGGCCAGGCCAGCCAGGGGGAGGGGCCACAGGATGTTGGGGGGCCTATTGGGGCCCCGATCGGGCCAGTTGGCCACTACAGTGCATGTCATAGCAACCAGTCATTCCAGTCATTCCATCGTTCTGGTTGCTGGGCTATTATATATATAGATTTATAAAGGTATTCTTTAGTTTTCAAATATTCTTGAGAAAAACTATATCCTTTGCCACAAAATTTTCAATTTTCTGCAAAATTCAGTTAATTCATGCAGATTAAAATTCCTGTGATATATATCTGGAGTAATCTTGTCTAATTTACAAATGAACTATCCAAATTAGACATGTATGAGAGCACACTTTTCTGATTACAAACGTTCTGGCCCATGTCAGTGGTTTGTACAGCTGTAGCTATTCTCTCCCTCCCTCTCCCCCCCCCCCCGCCCCGCCCCCACACACACAGTTTTCCTGGCCAGCAGCATTGCACATTCTAAGAGTGGCTCCCAGGGTGAAGACTGATGGCCTGTGAGATAGCCAGGCCAGGCACACAGGCACCTCGGTCTGGGGTGCGGGGTGGTTGTGCCATTGAACAGAACTATGCTGACTGGCTGAAGTTGGATTTCAGCAGCACAGTCTTTCAAACAGCTGTGCTCTGTAACCTTTTTTTCTCTCTCAGGTGACTGCCGGCCCCCTTTTGCGGGAAAAGCCTCACTCAGAGAGCAGTGATTGCATGCCTAGCCCCCACCTGGGAAGACCAACAAAGAGCACCTTGCAAGTTCCCCTCCAGAATGTCCCTCTGAACACCTCTGACAATAAGCCGAACAAGACCTTGGATGTTGAGGCCTCCCAGCAGCCTGACAGCGACAAGAAGCTCAGAACCACCAGCCAGAAAGCAAAGCCCATTTGCATGGGCCGTTTCCACAATCGCCATGTCTTCCAGCAGCAGCTGATTGAGAAGCAAAAGAAGAAACTTCAGGAACAGCACAAAACAATTCTGGAGCTGAAGGAAAGCCAGAGGCTGGCGCAGGCTCGGTGGGCAGCAGAGCGCGATGCAGCCCTCATGGACACACAGAGCCACCTGCTGTCAAACCCCAGAGAAGAAGAACCTGAAAGAACCTGCCAGGTGCTTTCAAAGTATGTCCATTGCATCAGAACACTCTCTGGACTCATTATTTGGAATTTTTCACTTTGTGGTAGATGGGCTCCTGAACTCTACCTGGCTTCCAGGCTCCGTGATCTCTGCTTTCCTTTTGTTGTGCACTCAGACCAAATAGGCCCATGCATTGTGATGGGTACATGGCAGATACAAATAGGTCTTTAAGGCAAGCGACTGCCTAGAACAGTGGTTCTCAACCTTCCTAATACCACGACCCTTTAATACAGTTTCTCATGTTGTGGTGACCCCCAACCATAAAATTATTTTCGTTGCTACTTCATAACTGCAATTTTGCTACTGTTATGAATCATCATGTAAATATCTGATATGCAGGATGTATTTTCATTGTTACAAATTGAACATAATTAAAGCATAGTGATTAATCATAAAAACAATATGTAATTATATATGTGTTTTCCGATGGTCTTAGGCGACCCCTGTGAAAGGGTCGTTCGACCCCCAAAGGGGTCGCGACCCACAGGCTGAGAACCGCTGGCCTAGAAGGATCCACTTATACATTCCCATTGGTATTGCAGCTGCCTTTGTCTAGGAGCTCTGTTATAACAATAAAAGAGAAAAATACCTACTTGCTTTAGCTTGACCTACGGTTTTCTGATCATGTTAAGTGCTGAGAAGTCAGGTCAGACAATATCGGGTCCAAATGGAGCAGTCCCTCCGGATGGTCAGTTATCTAGCTTAAATTTATAGTTGTTTTGGATAAAAGTAAATATTTTTGAGCCTGAAATAAGAGTCCAAATTTCTTAAAAGCCATTTAGGATGGTTTCAGAGGTGCTTGAGATATACTCAATATGTGTGACAAATGGTAGGATAAGTGGGTGACACTATTGATTTGAAGTACTGGGGTGAGAGTGGGAGTGCTTCACACACTGGAGGTGCAGGCCAGTCACTCAACCTTTCCCTGCCTTATTACACCAATTTATCCAGTGGGTGTAATAATGCGTGGTTATCTCAGAGAGAAAGGATTAAAGTTTTTAAAATTTTTGAGTTCCTCAGGTGCAAGGGCTTTGAACAACGCTGGTTATTGGTCTGAATTCTTTTTTTTTTTTCCTTCTCCAGTTCTCCTGTTGCTTCCCCTGGGACTGAAGGTAGTAGAAGCAACTCCCAAAATTATCTTTCTGGACCCAGAAGGAACCCAAGGAAGCTGATGGCACCCCATCCCATACTTAAAGGCAGGGCTGTCTTGGTTTGGCCTTGGTGGTGGTTATCTTCCCTGGAGGAGTAGAGTGTGCTGGGATTGAATTCAGGCCACTCTTGGGTTTTGAGCTTGGCAGAACCTGGTCAGTCTAAGGTGGGTAGACATGTGAGAAGTGGAATACACCAGAGCGCTCCACAACTTTTCTCCTGCCTCTTCTGCCAAACTTTGGGCCTTTCCAGCCAATAAAAAAAAATTGCTGAGAGGTGTATCATTTTCCTCTAATTTGAGATTTATATTGTGATTTTTAAAAAATGGGACACATACACAAATGAGAAAACCCTGAGTAGCTGCCTAGAATAAACATTGATCAAGATCACCTATCATTATATTTTGTTAACATTAAAATTTATAGCAATTTATGTTAAGGGTTCTGTCACTTTAATCCTCTAGTTAGTACATCATTTTATAATGAGTTGTGCCTTGATGATAGGCTTTTAGTAATGAAATCTGTAAACCACACATTTTAATTTAATAGGATTGTTGATAACATAGACATCGTTATTTAAACCAAACAATACTGTTGGAAGAGAAGCATTCCTTAGAACCCAGCAATGAATCTGCTAATTGTTTTCACTGTATACTTAGTCAACCATTGTACATGTGTTTGTATGTGTGGTAGGCACTTTGACAATTAGATTGTGTTTTATAAATCTGAGTTTTCACCTGTGGCAAGATTGCTGCCCTAACCAAAACTGAGGTCATCTGAAGGACACTGTGCCTGAAGTTCCTTCCTGTAATGAAGAAATTAGCAGTCTTTGCATTGACTGCTAGGACAGCAGTTTATGCCATCTATGTCCACTGAGGATAATTTAAAAATGCCCACTTATTACTTTTTTTATTATTTGATCAACAAGTTAGCACCTCAGGCTACCTTGCAAGTAGTCTTTAATGACTATCTAGCTCCAGAAAAGATGGGAAGGGACATATTACCAGGGGCTCCACTTCTCAGGGTTCTGTCACTTTAATCCTCTAGTCTGCTTCTGCCTCCTTAAAGACATCCTCACTCCTGCCATCTGTGGCACCCCACTATTCTTTTCCAGCAAAGCAGACACTTAATATCTGTAAGACAGCCTGGTGAGTGTTTTGCTTATTAATTCTTAAAACTTGGACTTAAATGTTCTTCCTCTATAATATGACACAAGGAACCAAAAGTAACCATTGGCTGACTTGGGTGAGCAGAACTTGGTACTCCTCCCACCCATGCTCCACTTCCTGTGAAAGTCCTGGCTGATGACAGTCACATTATCAGGCCATCTTGCACATTTGCTTCTTTTGGATTGATATTTAATAGACTGTCAAGAACAGGAGTCTGACACTCAAATCCGTTCAGATGCCAGCTCTCCAAATGCTTAGTACAGTTCCATTTCCTGCCCATCTGGATATCCAGGCCTTAAAACTAGATTAAAATGTATTCATTGTGACCCTGAACTTTAGTTTGTGGTGGTTGTTGTTACATATGCAGATGTATCATGACTTGGGAAAAATTAGTGGATTCAATGGGAGTAATTCTATTCTCAAAGTATTTGTTAAGTATAATTAACATCTTCTACATTCATTAAAGGAATTATCAAATTAAAATTATGGTTTCTCAGTTTCATATACTAAAAGTATCATCAAGGCACATTATCTAATTTAAACCAGTAAACATTATTCTAATAGAAATGTAAGTAAAAACATAATCTGCAAATTGCTCATCATTGTTGAGGATGAGATCATAGGTCTTTAACTTACAGGGGATATACATACATACCTATAGTTTATATATTTGTATTTTATAGAAATTTTATACATATATTTCTGAGCTTGTGAACACTCAACTTAAAAGAAAACCTTAATAACACCAAATTTTACTGTAAAATGGAGACATGTGTTTTTCAGTGTTCCTTATATTTTTTATATTGGAACTCTTACTATTTTCTAGCCATGGAAGAGAGAGCAGCTCAGCGAGCTGAACGTAGGCGGATCTTGGCAGAGAAGAAACAAAAACAAGAAGAGGAAAAATTGGTAATAAATCAAGAATGCAAACTGAGGCACAAGAAAGGACTTGTATAAGTGTTTATTTAAAAAAAAAGTTAAGCCTAGCTTGTTTAAGCCTATTGAGACAATAGAATTATACCAACTTTGGAAATGGCTTTTGGCCTACTGGCCTGAACTCTGTAACAATTTTAGGAAAATAAAAGGGAAAACATCAACATCATTTGTGTAGCAGGAATGTTACAGACGTCGATGAGAACTAGCACATTGGAAGATTGACAGATAACCAAGACTATGTTATAGGTAGATGTCCAACCTGACAAGTTTGCAAAGATAGAGAGTTCTTATCTTTCGAAGTTTTGACCTGGACTTCAGAAGTAAATGTTGTACCTACTAAGAAAAAATAGATACTACTAACAGTTTTGAGGGTCTTTTAAATGAAATGAAAGAACAAATTTTCCCACATTATATATAGTTTGGACTTAGTATGTCACAGATGAAAAGAAGAACTAGAAAGTAATCGTTTTTATGATAAAAAGTTAATGGTCTTATTCATGCTTAGTCTCATCTTCCCAAGGAGAAGAGTATTCTTTGGAGAAACTTTCAAGTTACACAACTGACCACCTGTTGGTTGGGTTTCTACTTTTATCACAAAGTGCAAGCTTCTTCCAGAGACGGGGTGGACACTTTGGTAGATACTTCTCTCAATCTCAACTTAAGGATCATATTTCCGTACAAATCAAGGGTGCTGATTTTTACAAATTCTAATCTTGATCAGGCCCAGTTAAAGGCCCAAGAGGAGGAGCGGCAGAAGAGGGAGGCAGAAGAAAAGGAGGCTCAACTGGAGAAAAAACGAGAAGAGAAGAGACTGAAGAAAATGGTTAGTAGTGTCTGTCTGGTCAATTGTGTGACCCTGTGCACTTTCCCCACCTCAGACCTTCTGTTTAGAACACTCTTTTCCCACCTGCACCCTTTTTCTCTATTTAGTGAAAGTCTACTCTTCTTTACGTTTTAGCTCAATATGACTTCTTCCAGATTAGTCTTGCCCCACCGTCCTCTTCACCCAAGGTTAAGTTAGGTCACTCTCTGTGGACTCTGAGTATATTTCCTTCAAAGCATTACTAGGGCTTTAATTATGCATCTATTCCATGGTTGTTTTATTCGTATCTGCATCTCCTAGGCTATAATCTCCATAAGAGTAGAAGGAGCAGTCTGAAGTTGCTCACTATTGTATTGGCTAGCAGTGTACTGAGCATATAGTAGAACTCAGCAAATGAGTTGAATGAGTGCATAAATAAACAAACAAATGAACAAATGGAAGAAAATACATGGAGAAAAAAATAAGAGATAAAACTTTTTTTTTCAAGGTCATTAAATTCTAGTTGGAAACATATGTCCTTAAAATACATACCTATCAAAGATGGTATAGTAATGGTATAGTATAGCATATGCTGTTTTGTGCCTCCCAGACCAAAAGAGATCAAGAGAGTTGTGCAGGCAAGATCCATGAAGATTTGGGAGAAATTAGAGGCATTTTCAGAGGAAAGAGATTTGAATTGGAAATTATATTAGGGTTCTCCAGAAAAAGATAAATATATATATATATATATATATATATATATATAGAGAGAGAGAGAGAGAGAGAGAGAGAGAGATACTAGAGGCCAGGTGCACAAAATTTGTGCACAAGAGGGGGTTCCCCCTCAGGCCAGCCTGCACCCTCTCCAATCCAGGACCCCTTGGGTGATGTCCGACTGCCAGTTTACTGCCAGTTTAGGCCCAATCTCGGGTCTAAACTGGCAGTCGGACATTTCTCTCACAATCCTGGACCACTGGCTCCTAATAGCTCACCTGCCTGCCTGCCTGGTCGCCCCTAACTTCACCCCCCCCCCTGCTGGCATGATCGCCCCTAACTGACCCCGCTGCTGGCTAGGTCACCCCCAACTTCCCCTTCCCTGCCAGCGGGTCACTCCTAACTGCCCCCCCTTGCCAGCCTGCTCACTCCTTACTGCCCCCTGCTGGCCTGGTTGCCTCCAACTGCCCCCCCTCACTGGCCTAGTTGCCCCACACTGCCCCCCCTGCCAGCCTGGTCACCCCCAACTGGTTGCCCCATGCAGCTTGCTGTTCAGTTGTTTGGTCGTCCTTCACTAACCCCCTGCCAGCCTGATCACCCCATGCAGCCTGCTTGTTCAGTCATTTGGTCGTCTCTCACTAACGCCCCTGCTGGCCTGGTTGCCCCACACAGCCTGCTTGTTCAGTCATTTGGTCGTCCCTCACTAACCCCCCAGCTGGCCTGGCATAGGCAGCCATCTTGTGAGAGCGTGAGGGTTAATTTGCATATTACATCTTTATTATATAGGAGATATATATACATACACATGCACACACACACACATACACACACACACACAGAGCTCAAGCAGGCAGGAAGCAAAGCGGCAAATTCCTTCTTCTACCTTATTGTCCTATTCAGGCTCATAAAGGATTGGGTGATGCCCACACATATTAGGGAGGTCAATCTGAGTCCATGGATTCAAATATTAATATCAGCCAAAAACACCCTCACAGACACACCCAGAAATAATCTTAGTCTGGGCACCCTGTGGCACAGGCAAGTTGACACATAAAATTAACCATCACAAGTTCACCCCATTGTCAACTTGTTATCCATACACATATGAAACCAACATAATCTTCAAATAAGGTAATAACAACATCATAATTCTGCCTAACATGATACAACTATCCCACATACAATCAGAAATGCTCTAACCTCTGCCCCAGATGATGAGGTAAAGTCTTTGAGTGATGTTTATTCTTCTCCTTGATATCCCATAACTTAAATACTATAATGTAAAATGAATAATACTTAAATACCGTGATATAAAGCCAATACATCATATGTTATGTAATAAGAGAATAAGAAAGGCAAAAAAACAAAGATACATATACAGATAAATATATTCATAGCAAAATAAGAAATGGATACTCATGACAATTACAGTCTTCATTTATGTAACTGGCCAAGTGGGTGTAGCTAGTATTTATAACTTATGTTCTTCTACTACCCACTCTTCTCTTTGCCTTCAGCAAGCACCTCTCCTAATCACAGTTTTTTACCTGGTGAGGTGACCCAAACCTTTATTCCTGAGTAGCCCAGTGTGGATTGGGTTGTTGTTGTTTTCTTTTGACCTTAACCCCAGGGCATAGTAATGCTAAGATATACTCTAAGGGGCTTCCTGTATTCCAGAAATACTCTTCCTTACCTCCACTGTGGAATAGTATACTCTCCAGTTTCGCTTAGTAGTCAGGTTTATTCACCCCAGTCAGCACTTCCTTCTTTGCCCGTTGATTTAGAGTCATAAGGAGCCCAATATGATTGGGTGGCATTCTTAACTTCCAGTTTAGTGGAATCATTGTTATGTCTCCTGATAGAAGCATTCCCCCATTTGAAACCAAGACCTCTAGACTAACAGAACATAAAGTCGTGGGCAAAGGAAGAAAAAAATTTGCTAGTGGGTCACTGGAGGTAATCATGAGTGGTGCCAATTCCACTTCCACCTCTTGATTCCTGGAGCCTGTGAATCCTGGCTATGAGGGGAACGGTGCCATATATTGGATGCTGACTCAGAGCATATATAGCCCTCTGGAGAACCTTACCATAGACCTGCAAGGTATTGCCACCTCACTGGAACTGCAACTAAGTCTTCACAAGATCATGCCAGCCCTGCACCCACCAATTTGATTCAAAGAACATGGCCAGGGTTTCGGGCACTATACCCAGCAGGGGTGTACAGGAGGTACCCAATTGATGTTTCACTCTCACATCAATGTTTCTCTCCCTCTTCCTTACTCTTTCTCTCTAAAATCAATTTAAAAACATATTTACAAGAGACCATGCCACCATTCTGTCAAGCCAGCTTCTGCAGGATGGTAGAGCACGTAAGTTCCATGTGTATAGGCCCATTGCCACACTTCTTTTGTTGTAAAGTGAGCTCCATGATTAGAAGCCATGCCATGTGGAATACAATGATGGTGGATAAGCGTTCTGTAAGTCCACAAATGAGACCTTGTAAGTCCATGGGTAGTAGTTTGGGGCAAAAGCATTGTGTAGAGGAAAGGCAAATCCATATTCAGAGTGTCTATTCCAGTAAAAACAAAACTCTGCTCCTTCTGTGATGGAAACAGTCTGATATAATCAACCTGCCATCTGATAGCTGGCTGGTCAACCCAGAAAATGGTGCCATTTTGACGACTCAGTGTTAGTCTCTGCTGCTGGCTGATTGGGCAATCAGCAGTGGCCATAGCCAGTCAGCCTTGGGGAATGGAAGTCTGCATTGCTGAGCCCTTGTATAGCCTCCATCCCTGCCACCATGGCCGCTTTGTTTATGAGCCCATTGGGTAATGGTAGGAGTGGCTGGGAAAAGAGGCTGGCTGAGTATCCACAGAATGGTTCAGCTTGTCCATGGAGCAAAAGGCATGTACTATAATTCATCCCTTGCTAAGACAGCCTAAGAAATCTCTATAAACAGCCCAGTTACCTCCCTTAAAAATTACATAAGGGTTCTGAAGTAGCATTTCCCAACATGTGTTCCATGTAATTTTAGTGGTTTCTAATATTAAGTTGTTTTGAATTACCCTTATACCTCTGTCAAAAATCAATTGACTGTATTTATGTGGGTCTATTTCTGGGCTCTCTGTTCTGTTCTGTTGATCTTTATGTATATTTCTTTAACAGTACCACACTGTCTTTGATTGCTGTAGCTTTACAGTAAATCTTGAATATATTAAATGTGATTCTCCTCTTTATTCTTTTATAGTGTTTTGGCTATTCTAGTTCTTTTGCCATTTGATATAAATTTTAGACTAATCTTGTTGATATGTATAAAAACTCTTGCTAAAATTTTGATCATATTGAATTATAGATCAAATTGGAAGAATAGACATCCTAACAACATTGAGTCTTTATTTAGATTTTTTACTTATTTCATGAGTATTTTTATTTCTTTCCACAGATCTTATATATTTTTTGTTAGATTTTTACCTAAGTATTTCTTTTTGTGGTACTATTGTAAATAGTGTCTTTTAAAATTTCAGATTTTATTTATTCATTGCTAGCATGTAGGAACAAAATTTATTTTTATATGTTGACCTTGTATTCTGCAACTTTACTAGGAGGTTTTTGTGGATTTTTTGGAATTTTATATATAGGCAACCATGTTGTCTGCTAATAAAGACACTTTCATTTCTTCCTTTCCAATATGTATGATTTTTATTTATTTTTCTTGCCTTATTGCACTAGGTAGGTATTGCTGTGCAAGGCTGAGTAAGAGTAGAGAGAGGAGACATCCTTGCCTTGCAGTCTCTCACCATTATTGTCATATATTTCATGTATTTTATATATTTCATATATATGCCCAATACCTTGCTATTTTTATTGCTTTAAATAGTTATATTTTAGTGTGATTAAAAATAAGCTGAAGATTATGTTTTACCTTTATTTCTTCCATTTCTGATGCTCTTTATTTCTTTGTGTAGATCTAAGTTTTTAACCTATATCTTATTCCTTCTGCCTGAAGAACTTCCTTTAACATTTCATGTAGTGTAAGTCTGTCAGTAGTGAATTCCCTTTTATTTTTGTTCATCTGAGAACGTCTTTATTTCTCCTTCATTTTTTTGAGGGGTATTTTTGCTGGATATAGAATTCTGGGTTCACAGTTTTTTCTTTTAACACTTTAAAGATGTTAGTTCAGAGACAGGGATACCCACTCTCACCACTCCTGTTCAACATAGTCCTGGAAGTATTAGCCATTGCAATTAGACAAGAAGAAGAAATAAAAGGCATCCAAATTGGAAAAGAGGAAGTAAAACTGTCCTTAT